TATAGGAAGAGGCCAAACCCCCAAACATACCAGCGATACAAAGATGCGAGAAACAACTATACAGCAGTAAGGAGAGAGGCAGAAAGAAATTTTGAAAAAGGGATAGCAGATAAATGTAAAACAGAACCGGGCCTATTCTACAAATTCATAAACAACAAATTGCAGGTAAAGGATAATATCCAGAGGTTGAAAATGGGAAACAGATTCACGGAAAATGAAAAGGAAATGTGTGAAACATTAAATGAAAAGTTCCAAAGTGTGTTCGTACAAAATGAAATCTTCAGAGAACCAGACACAATAAGAATTCCAGAGAACAACATAGAGCGGATAGAGGTGTCAAGAGATGAAGTGGAAAATATGCTAAAGGAGCTCGGGAAGAACAAAGCAGCTGGCCCAGATGGCGTTTCACCATGGGTTCTGAGAGAATGTGCATCTGAGGTCAGCATTCCACTTCACCTGATCTTTCAGGCATCCCTGTGTACAGGAATCGTAGCAGACGTGTGGAAACAGGCTAACATAGTTCCAATCTACAAAAGTGGCAGCAGGGAAGACCCCTCTCAATTATAGACCTGTATCATTGACAAGTGTAATAGTGAAAGTATTGGAAAAACTAATCAAAACTAAATGGGTAGAAGACCTGGAGAGAAATGATATAATATCAGACAGACAGTATGGTTTTCGATCTGGAAGATCCTGTGTATCGAATTTACTCAGTTTCTATGATCGAGCCACAGAGATATTACAGGAAAAAGATGGTTGGGTTGACTGCATATATCTGGACCTAAAAATGGCTTTCGACAGAGTTCCACATAAGAGGTTCTGGAAACTGGAAAATATTGGAGGGGTGACAGGTAAGCTTTTAACATGGATGAAAAATTTTCTGACTGATAGAAAAATGAGGGCAGTAATCAGAGGCAATGTATCGGACTGGAGAAATGTCAACAGTGGAGTACCACAGGGTTCAGTTCTTGCACCAGTGATGTTTATTGTCTACATAAATGATCTACCAGTTGGTATACAGAATTATATGAACATGTTTGCTGATGATGCTAAGATAATAGGAAGGATAAGAAATTTAGATGACTGTCATGCCCTTCAAGAAGACCTGGACAAAATAAGTATATGGAGCACCACTTGGCAAATGGAATTTAATGTAAATAAATGTCATGTTATGGAATGTGGAATAGGAGAACATAGACCCCACACAACCTATATATTATGTGAGAAATCTTTAAAGAATTCTGATAAAGAAAGAGATCGAGGAGTGGTTCTAGATAGAAAACTATCACCTGAGGACCACATAAAGAATATTGTGCAAAGAGCCTATGCTATGCTTTCTAACTTCAGAATTGCATTTAAATACATGGATGGCGATATACTAAAGAAATTGTTCATGACTTTTGTTAGGCCAAAGCTAGAATATGCAGCTGTTGTGTGGTGCCCATATCTTAAGAAGCACATCAACAAACTGGAAAAGGTGCAAAGACATGCTACTAAGTGGCTCCCAGAACTGAAGGGCAAGAGCTATGAGGAGAGGTTAGAAGCATTAAATATGCCAAAACTAGAAGACAGAAGAAAAAGAGGTGATATGATCACTACGTACAAAATAGTAACAGGAATTGATAAAATCGACAGGGAAGACTTCCTGAGACCTGGAACTTCAAGAACAAGAGGCCATAGATTTAAACTAGCTAAACACAGATGCCGAAGAAATATAAGAAAATTCACCTTCGCAAATAGAGTGGTAGACGGTTGGAACAAGTTAAGTGAGAAGGTGGTGGAGGCCAAGACCGTCAGTAGTTTCAAAGCGTTATATGACAAAGAGTGCTGGGAAGACGGGACACCACGAGCGTAGCTCTCATCCTGTAACTACACTTAGGTAATTACACTTAGGTAATTACACTTCCCCGCCCTATAGTGGGCAATATATGCCACTTAAGATTTTTTTATTATTTTTCCCGTGATCAGTGAACACAAATTAACAGGTTAGGAAGAAAAAATAATTTTTTTTTTTTTTTTTTTTTTTTATATGCGCCTGTGGGTGTCAAATGGTATATAGCTATGCGCCATTTAAGGGTTAACTGCGCAACGCGCCTGCAGGCCCAGGCTTCAGGCGCGCAACGCGCCTCCGGGTGTTTTTATTTTTCACGTTCCATTCAAAACTCCCGCGGCTACATGGGGTTCACATCAGCTTCCTCAGGGCTCTTGTAAACAGACGCCATCTTTAAAAAAATCATGGGCCACATTGCCGGGTGCCAGAGCCTCAGTAGTGAGTGAGCAACCAAGGCTGGTGCTCGCAGCATGAGCGCACAGCACTGCTGTTCAGCGTGTGACCACAGCATCGCCTAATATTGTCAAAATATATATATAATCTGTTTTATTTAGCCATGATAGTATTATAGAAGAACCCGAGTGTGATAATGACTGGGTACAATGTTCAAATATCAGTGATTCAATGCTGTTCACGATGTTCACAGCCCTAGCCATAGCACCACAGCATTATTTCGTCCATGTAGGAACCTTCAAACGACTTTTTAGGTTCCTTTTCAAAATAAACTTGTGGTCAATTATTCATTTACAGGTATTAGTGACCAGGATTGTGGTTATAATGAGCGTTGTGCATAGGAAGGAGGAAGTTTGGTGAGGGAGGGAGGAAGGGAAAGAATTGAGGTAGCCTCACTGTGTGGCAGTAACTCTTGTTTTGCTCACCATACTAGCTTCGTGGTTCACTATGGGGAACACACATGTACATGGATATATACAGTGTGTGTGGAATAGTGTAATAACAGCACGAGGAGTATGTTGTGAGGAGCTATTTTGGTGAGGGAGGTGACGTCGTAATCATGGCGTCGTCTGCTGTCTGCTGTGTGATTTGTCATGCAGTGTATGGTGGCCATGGAACTGTTTGGACACAATACCGGCTTACTTGCATAGTTCTGGTAAATAAAACATGTAGATAGGTATATATAACATGTGTAAATTGTGTAATAAATACAATAACAGTATGGTGGGAGGAGCAATGTTGGCGAGTAAGATGTTGGAGTGAGGGAGGGCTGGCTGGGTGTGGCTGCTCACACTCGCGGTGTTCTGAGTGTGTTTATGGTGAATGTACACAGTGTGTGACAGTGTAGAGTGTGTACATATGTTGTAAATATACATAAATGAACTTGAAACATTCGTGTGAATAACTGTATGATTTGGAGGAGCAATGTTGGTGAGTTGGAGGAGTGAGGGAGGGCTGGCTGGGTGTGGCTGCTCACACTCGCGGTATTCTGAGTGTGTTGATGGTGAATGTATATAGTGTGTGACAGTGTATAGTCTGTAAATAGATTGTATATATACATAAATTAGCATGATACATGGTAAATATGTGCAACATATGTGTACACAAGTGTCACGCACGTAACACAGTGTCTTCAGAGAGTACAGATGTTTTACTGCCATAATATAGTGTACATGTTCATTATACATAGGATTAGCATATAAAAACAAATAAAATGTATTTGGAACTGTGCGCAAAAAATGTGCAAAAATATATTCGCGGCAACTCGTGCGCCCCGCCCCGGGTGCCCCACCGGCCCCGGGAGCATACTGCTCTGGCGCACTGGGAATTATGACGTCACGGCCCACCTTTCGGACCCCATAGCAGCCAAAGTAAGTACAATTTTGAACTTGCGTTGCTATACCCATATACAGGGAGGGGTTTTTGACACTTTCCGAAGAAAAAATAATTTTTTTCCAAGGATTCATTTCCTGCGCACTGAGGGGATGTCATATTTATAGGCCGCGCAGTTAAAGGGTTAATATGGTACAAACGAAGTGCAGAGAGTGTAGAGCAGCCCAGTGTTGCATGAACTGCTTCACCGACTATTACACCTTTCACAACTTCTGAGTGTTACATATTGGAAAATAAACATGTAAATAATGAGTGAGTGTACATAAGTGCAAAATATTATTATTTTTTATAAAATTTACTGTAAAACAAGACATTGGTGTGCATGTTGAGAGATGCATATAATTGTGATTAGCAATGTTCTACATGCTTTATTATATTAAAACATCAACTGACACAGCAATAAACAATTTGTGTGAAAAACATTTAAACAACATATGTGAAATATGATGTAAACAAATACTGGAGCCAGAAATTTATTTGCAGCAACTCCCGGTATTTGAGTGGCTCATGTAACCTGCCTGCAATGTTGAGTGAGCATGTCAAGCTGATGTCATAAGCACATATGTCAGCCTATGACATGGCCAGTTGCAGCCATAGTAAGTGGATTTTTATTTTTTATTTTTTTTTGCACTGGAGCAAACAGGCAATCCTATTTCCTCAAGTGGAGAATAAGGAGTGCTGCCCAAGGACACCTGAAAGATGGCACTCATTTGCCGCCAATCAAGCATTCGGGTTTGATAAAACCCAACTTTTTTGTTGGAAGCAACAAAAAGAGAGAATTGTCAGCCAGCCAGGATGAATCTAGCACCTCATACAGCAGCCAAAAAGACGAGGCAGACTCAAAGGAGGCAGAGTCTATCAATGAAGTGAGGCTAAAATCTCGGAGGTGGTACCGAGACAGGTCTGCACTAGCCACACATGGCACAAGGCTTGGTGACAGGAACTTTCAGAAATAGAATGAATCTGAAGTGCCAAATGGTACACGAAATCATACCCTGGGAAAAGCAGCCAAGTCAGAAAACCCAAAACAAAGCTCCACATTAAGGAAGAAATTGTTTATACAATGATCTACATTTTAAATCATAGCTCTTAAATTTAACACCAACAACTTTATAAAACACACTGAGCATTATCAACTACACTACGCATAGAGTGAAGGAGAACTTATGAGTGCTGCAGACAGATGAACTGAGGAAATTTTCTGATACAAGTAACCAGAAATTACCCATACATGTACTGTACCTGTATATGTGAGGTAGATGTATGGGCAATTATGATGCTCTTAGCTGAAAGATAATATCCAGCTACAGTTGAAGGTACTCACCAGCTGGGTGGGGCCGACTCTGCTAGCTGCAGCAATCGGTGCTAAAGGTGTTAGAAGACCACCTACTGGAGGCACCAGAGGTCCTCCAGGCGATGGCCTACTCAAGGTCGGTCTGCTTAGAGGAAGGGGTCCAGCCAGTGATGAAGGAGCCCCTAATGGTTGAGGAGGTAAAGGTAATTGTCCGAGGCCTCTTCCAAGACCACCTCCAGACATGGTAGAGTTCTGAGTACATTCAATGTAGCCAACAGGAAGTTTCTCCAAGTTTGGAGAATCTCTGACAGTCAGGCCCCCTTTTTGCTGAGTACTGTTTGTTTTCTTTGGATTTTCCTCTATGTCTTTTGAGGCACTATTCACATTAACATTATTTACCTTTACAATATCACAAATGTCTAATTTCGTTTTAGTTGCATCACTGTTGACATTTGTCTTGTTAATGTCATCACTGCAGGTTACATCTGTGTCTGAATGCCCAGCAAAATTTATTTTTTTCTTGTTATCATCACTAACATTTCTGTCACAGTTTGTACTATTATTACTGCATGTAATGTTTTCACACTTCTTTGCTGGCTCCTCAAATTCCAAATCACTAAGAACTGATGTGATGCAGATATTAGGAGGATTTTTCTTTAGCCTTTCAGTAGCTTTTGTGCATTTCTCTGCAAGAATTAATGCCGTTGCTATGTAATTAGAAAGATTGTTTACATCAGAGTCGGAGTGTGTGAGGTCACTCACTTGAGCCCTCAGCAAGTCAGATATAACGAGGTCCTCTTCAGTGCTAAAGTCTTCCGTAAAGGAATCTGCCAAAAGATAAAATAATTATTAATTGAATCAATTATGTACCAAAATATATAAAGAAAATACAGTAAATGATGCAAGAATATCTAAGAGGTTTTACTCCATAAATAAATTTAACCAAAATTATGGAGGAGAGATGGATGAATTATGCACAACATCACACATTAAATGAGAGTTACTCGTTATGACTCTTAGATTAAAAAACAGTGTTGAATGTAATGAAACGCCATTTTCTGGGCGAGACCCGGAGGCTCCCCAGAGCTTATTAAGGCTGATATTGCTATATTAGACTTTGGCATCAGTCATGTAAATGGAGTTCTTAGGCTTACTGGGGACCAAGAGCCAGAGCCAAGAGCCAAGAGTCATTGCAACTCGTGCCTCAAGGAGGCACAAGTTGCAATGGCCTATAGAAACCCCCTTGTGGTTGGAAGCATTCTATGTCTGCCATCGACTGGATCAAGCACCCAGAAAGGTAAGCGCCCCCAAAACAAACCTCTATCCTGGTTAAGAAGTGCTACTGAAAGCCGAACTAGTGGACTGAACTCCCCAAACAAAAACAAGCAAATGAGCGTGACGTCAGCAAGTTGCAGCGCCGCCGTCTGCGCAGAAGGACTACTCTCCCTTGAAAGTCTCCAAGCGAGCTAGGACCTGGGGTAACAGCGGAACTGGGGGGAAGAGGTAGAGGTAACCCCACCTCGAACAGTCCCTGCCGAAAAGCATAGACCCAAATGGCCTCACAGTCAGGGAAGGGCACCACATATAATGGGAGATGCCTCGACCATGCTGATGCAAAGAGGTCCACGTCCAGGAGCGCATACATCCGGCAGAACCAACTGAAGTAGTCCACATCGACCATCCATTCTGAGGACAGGAGGAATGAGCTGGGACAGGACGTCCGCCTGGACATTGGATATCCCCAAACATGAACGGCCAGGAGAGCCAAACCTTGAGAACTCAGCAGATGAGTCACCCAAAGTGATCAGCCCCAAAGAGCCAAGGACTGCTTCGAACCCCCCTCGATTCAGGCAATGAACTACCGGGGAACAGTCCGAATGGTGCCTGATCGTCGATCCGCGAGTGGCTCGAACTCTCCGAAAGTGACATCCACACCGCCGCCAACACCCACACTGTGCTGTGGGCCCAACAGAAGGACGGACCCCACTGCCCCTGGCCGGCTTGGTGAGCACTGGTCACAAAAGCCCCAGCCAAAAGACGATGCATCCGTGAACACATCGAGCGAGGGGCTTGGGTAGGCACCGAGGCACCAAACCTCGAAAAACCCAAAGAGGAAGCCGGTGAAGCAGCAGCCGACACAAGGCCCCCAGAAGCTGAACCCAGCAGTCGCGAGAGAGGCGGAAGGGATGAACTCGAAGGAACCAGAACAGCCGACGAAGCCAAGCCCAACCCGGCAGGTAGATCATCACGGCAAAATTGAGGCTCCCTCACAAACCCTCGGGCAACCGCTGAGTGACCCAGGACCCCTCCAGAAACAAGCGAAGGTGGAATTTATTATGATGTTGTTGTTGATGTTCGGTAATGTTGATCAGTTATCTGTCCTTGCAGACAACCCAACCCAAAAATTCGGTAGAGTGCTTATTTTGACCAGGAGATCACCCTGGGTGCTTCTGACACTTGGAGAGGGGCTTAGCGTCACAAATTTAGGGGATGCGGCTTCAACACTAGCCTCGTTATCACGTGCACACACCCACTCGAGCCGTCGTGACTCCCCACTCTCTCCTTATGTGGTATGATCTCAATCCCCTTTTCTTTGATATTACTCCATATTACCCTGTCCACAGCTATAGTTCATTCGTTCGTGCGTTTGTTCGTTCGTTCATTCGTTCGTTTGTTCATTCGTTTGTTCTCTCTCTCTCTCTCTCTCTCCTACTTTCTGGGAAGCCTCACTAGGACAAGGGCAAACACAGACAAATTTGAATACATTTACTGGACAAGGCACATGCACAATACATATACACATATAATAATATGACTCCAGCACTCTATACTACTGTCGTCAGGTTGCACTACAATACCATCAGGACTCTGTCATCTGCCTATCAAGTGGTAGCCTAACTGTTATCTCCTAACTTATACCACCATCCTCACCAAGTAGGTCAAGTCTCATAGGACAATATTGCACTATCAGCTAGAGAATATATATATATAAATACATACAAGGAGAACCAGCCTATGAATGCAATAACATAAATATCAGCATAAATATTCCTTGATATACAACAATGATCAATCAATCACCCTATCAGTCCTAGAACACATATGTATGTCTCTGCAGGTAATCCAGCCTACGGTTGTAACTGTACTTTAGTATAAGTACTTCTTGGCACAAAAATGGTAATCAATCAATCACCTTTCACTGTGTCTTACATGCTAATGACAACCAAACGCACTACCAACTCCCTACAAGTAGTCAATAAGAACTTCCTTTCCACATCTGGAAAGATGTGGAAAGTCAGACACTATTCTGCCATCTTCAGGTTTTCCTAAAATCGTCTACCAGGGTCCTCCACAGCTCTCCCAGCTGCTACACCATGAAGTCTTCCTTGAGAAACAATGGTGCTTCACCACCGGTATCACAGAAGCATGTGAAACTTCATTCCACTGCTCCTCTTCTCACAGCTTGAGGTCCTGCTCCTCACTGTATGGCTGCTCTCCCACAGAGCTCAGTACCTTCCACAACCTTGGAGTCTCATCAACTACTCCCTCTCTGCTGGCTTCGAAGTTCTCAGCAACTCCTTCCCCAGACAAACCTGCAACCCATCGACACACCAATAAAAAAATTTCCCTATAAACACAAATAAAATAAACCACACAATTAATGTTTCCACCCAACATCTCTGCTTTCTGCATGCTGTGAGGACGGACTCCCTCATCCAAGACGAATCCATTTTCCGCCTCCCGCTGGGTGGTTCCTCTGCCTGCCGCAGTGGGGCAGCACTTCTGTCAGGAGATAATCCTCCCTCAGTCACCCACAAGCGGTCAGAGGGGACGGACGTCGCTCCGCCCTCCAGGATGTTCCTCCATCTTTACTCTCTTATTTAGGCCTTCTGCCTCATCAAAACATGCCTAATATAACACTAAACATTTGCTACTGTCGCTGGGCACATGACCAACTACAAGTATTCACTGTAAACTGGCTTACAATCGTGCTTACCACAGATTGTCTAGTTGAGGGCGCTTCCTGGCCGATGCTCGACAGGGCACTCACAAGTTGCCCAACGAAAACATTTCAGGATAGCTTCACAACTCTTCCTGCTGTCCAGGACTTGAGACCACAACGTTCCTAACTCGATTCCACAGCTGAAACGTCCTCACACTTTCTTCCTCTTGAAGGTATATCAACTAGGTCTTCCTCTCTAACAGGAGCTCACACGGAGCGCGGCTTCCCCTCACGATGTCTGAGGCTCAAGTGGGGTCAAAGCCCTCCAGAAGCGAGCCTCACACTTCTAGCAAACTCTTCACATCTCATGTCAAGTCATTTACTTATATTCTTGATCACTGCCCATACTCTTAAACTATTTATCAAATCTAACCAATTATTTTACATATGTATCTCAAGAGGTCACAGAAATATAGACATTATTTAGGTCAGGTCTTGCAGAATAACTCTCATGGCAAACTTGTTTCTCAGCTACCTGGGATCATAACACTCGCAGATGAAGCAGAGACTCTGGAGTAAGAGACAATGAAGCGATCCGAGAGTCTTAAACAAGACCCAGTCAAGTCTGAACCTGAGAGGGAACCAGATGGGACTTTCACCAGTTCACCAGGCACCCGAACTCGGCAAGCTGGGAAAGAACCAAATCCCTGGTGAGCAGACACGTGGACTGGCTGGGAGCCCAGACCAGCCAGTCATCGAGGAAGGCCAGCACCCGAACACCTAAGAGACACAGACGGGCCACCATGACCTGGGTATGGCATGTGTAAACACAAGGTGCCAGGTTCAACCCGAACGAGAGACAACGAAAGCAGTAACTGAGATGCCCCACAACAAAACCGAGACAGTCCCTGAACCCCAGACGAATTGGGATGTGTGCCAATACGCGTCCCGGAGGTCCAGGGACACCTTCCAAGTGCCCGGCTCCAACTGAAGCCGGAACTGGGAGAGAGTCTGAATCTGAAGGATCTGAAAGGAGGGGCGAAGGAACCTAGGGGTTCGACGGGACAAATCCAGAATGAACCGCAGGTCCACACAGTCTCATTTCGGGACCGGGAACAGATAGGAATCCCATCCGAGAGACGACGACATTTCAACCAACCCAATCACACCTACTACAATATGACCCGACAGAGCACAGAAGAGGTGGCTAGCCCTAAACCCCCCAAAGGAGGGGGGGTCACCCAACGCCACCGCAGAAATGACCCGAAAAGCCCACAAATCGTGAGACCAGGCGTGAGCGAACAGAGCGAGCCTTCCCCCCCCCCCCATCAACGAGATGTTCCCTTACGAAAACCCGACCCACGCACAGGGTGAAAACTCCGCAGACCAGACGAAGACGGGTCCGAAGGCGGTGCTGGCTCTGAAACTGGCACCAGTGGCCTACCATTACGAGCGGATCCCCGAGCCCTGGCACGACCCCTCCGGGAAGGCACCCCTGGGACCCCCAGAGAACCAACACATCCAACCAACATTGGACAACAACTAGAAGAAGCTGCCTGCAGATACTGTTCAACAGCAGAATCCACAAATAGCAAGGAACAAAAGGGTGAAGACAATCTAAGAGCCAGGGCCCAAGCAGATTCCAAGAAGGAGGCAAGCACTGCCAGCAGACACGTGAGCCGCAAAGCATAAAACAGAGACATCGGATCTTGCAGGATCGGCGCAAACAGCTTCAACAGAGCAGACGATGCACGTGCCGCCAAGCCCAAGGTACTTGACCCAGAAATGGTCCCAAGCGCCTCCACATCCTCCTCAAATCAATCCGCGGACAGCTCCGGGAGGGAAAAGAACTGCAAGACTGAAGCCAGCAGGCTATGAGCGTGCAATTCCTCAGCGACCAGCGCAGCTGAAAGGAAGGAAACCTACATGTGAAGCTGCACAATGCCGACATCTCGAGGACGGGCAGGAGCGAACAGGCACACACTGAGGTGCTCAAACTCGCCCCCTAGGAAAACCTGGACCACCCTCATTGTGTCACGCTACACAAGCATGTGGGAACGAGAGAACGTATGCCAAGCCTCCAACGAAAATACAGGACAATCCGCTAACCAGGACGACTCTGGAACCTCATAACGAATTCAGTAGGGAAACGAAGACCCAAACCTGAGCGAAGATGGATCCATGATAGAGGTGTAATCCGGGTCGCACAGGATGTAAGCCACAAAGGTGTCCCACACCACATGAGTTAGGGTGCGGGAAGCTGTAAAACCTGAAAGACAGGACCGAAGCACCTGAAGGGACACAGAACCGAATATGGGGAGGGGCAGACACTAAATCCAACTCGTATGAAGAATGGGGGGGGGGGGGAGAAAACCCCACTCCTTGCAACAGTAAGCCCTGCTCAGAGGGTAGAAAAACTCAGGGTGGGGTCAAATGGGGCCCAAGTCCCCCAAGTCAGCCCTGGGAATCACCACATCAGGACCCGGGGCCAAGTCATCTCCCAAAGCCCACTAAATCCTGTAAATGAATAATTTTCCACAAGTTTATTTTGTAAAGGAGCACGATAAGTTGTTTGACGATTCTTAGATGGACAATGGATGGATAATGGCAGTGTGCTGTGGCTAATGCTTTGAACATCTTGAACAACATTGATTCACCGATATCTGAACATTATACACAGTCTCTGTCACAGTCAGGGTCTTCTGTAATACTACCATGGCTAAATAATACCAGTTACATATATATTTTAACATTTTTTGGTAATGCTGTGGCAACAAGCTGAACAGCAGTGCTGTTAGCTCATGCTGCGTGCGCCAGCCTTGGTTGCTCACTCAGTACCGAGGCTCTCACACTCGGGAATGTTCCCCATGATTTTTTTTTTAAATGGCGTCTGTTTATGAGAGCCCTGAGGAAGCTGATGTAGCCATGCTTTGTAGCCATCGAAGTTTTGAATGCTATGCTATACCTATGAGCTCCTTGAGGCATTCAGCGCACCCCCGATCTAGTGCCTCAGGGTGCTCTGTGCAGTACAGTGGTTAAGACAGTGTAAACCATACCTTGGGGAGTGTAGAATAAACCATACCTTGGGAGCCAGTGGTGATTCTGTCGCTGACAACGAGGGCACGGACCACAGTATCAACAGGATGGGTCCATCTGCTCTCCCCGGTCACCTGGTTGAAGAAGTATAATCCCAGATTGTTGTCCTGACTGCACAGAGAAAGTATTATTAATGACCATATAAGAATCGTCAATCAAATTATTATCAAGATAAATATGCACTAGGTTGGTTTTCTTATATTTGACTAAGACAACAACACAACCTCCAGCTTTGTGTGAACTTTTGAGAATGATACTGAAAACTGCACAAAAATTGCTCCATTTAAAGATGCTAAAAAATTACAATCAGTTATCAACAGAGTCTTCCAGTAGACAATATAAAACAGCTTGATGCTCACTTTGGCATATTCCTACTACAGAACAAATCTGATATGGTGAAAAAATTAATTACAGTTGAGTACTTAAATGCAGTAGATGATATGCAGAGCACCACTTGGTTTCCGAACCCCTTGGGGACGAGAGCCATCGGTTATCGCGTAAGTTCGTAAACAAGAAATAGAGGAAAATTGAGAGACAAAATTGAAAAAATCTAAGGGAAAAATCGACAGGTTCATAGCATGACTGCGACAGTATTTTGTTTGCACTCGCCAAATAGAGAAGTCCTGATCCACTTCTCCCTCAGAAGTGGTGGGACCAAAGAGTCAGAACTCAACCCAGCAAGGACAATTAGATGAGTACAACTATGTGAGTACACCCTAACTGCTGCTGCCCGCCCTCCCTCCCCCGAAGTGGCTAGCTTAGTAGATTGCCAGAGAATCTCCATCTAATACAATAAAGCATTCATGAAATAAGTATTTTTATAACTTTTTATTATCCTAATAATATTAATAAACAAAACCTGTAACCAAAAATATATATGATGTACATTTAAGTAACAAATGTGGCTAACGGGTTGAGGGTGGTTAGGCTTACCCGAGTCAGCCGGTCCCTCCCCCACACTAGACCCCCCCATACACTCTCTCCAAAGGTCACGTGGCTCACCTCAACACCCAGTGGTATGAGGTATGTGGGCCGCTCCAAGCAACAGCCTGGTGGACCAAACTCTCACAATTCAAGCCTGGCCTCGGGCCGGGCTTGGGGAGTAGAAGAACTCCCCGAACCCCATCAACTAGGTAACCCATCCCTGCCTGCCTGCCTGCCTGCCTGCCTGCCTGCCTGCCAGCCTGCCAGCCTGCATGCCTGCCTGCCTGCCTGCCTGCCAGCCAGCCAGCCAGCCAGCCAGCCAGCCAGCCAGCCAGCCTGCCTGCCTGCCTGCCAGCCTGCCAGCCAGCCAGCCAGCCAGCCAGCCAGCCAGCCAGCCAGCCAGCCAGCCAGCCAGCCTGCCAGCCTGCCAGCCTGCCAGCCAGCCAGCCTGCCTGGCAGCCTGCCAGCCAGCCTGCCAGCCAGCCTGCTACCCTGCCAGCCTGCCAGCCAGCCTGCTACCCTGCCAGCCTGCCAGCCAGCCAGCCAGCCAGCCAGCCAGCCTGCCTGGCAGCCTGCCTGGCAGCCTGCCAGCCAGCCTGCTACCCTGCCAGCCTGCCTACTACCCTGCCAGCCTGCCAGCCAGCCTGCTACCCTGCCAGCCTGCCAGCCAGCCTGCTAGCCAGCCAGCCTGCTACCCTGCCAGCCAGCCTGCCAGCCAGCCTGCTAGCCAGCCAGCCTGCTAGCCAGCCAGCCTGCTAGCCAGCCTGCCTGCCTGCCAGCCAGTCAGCCAGCCAGCCTGCCTGCCTGCCAGCCAGCCAGCCAGCCAGCCAGCCAGTCTGCCTGCCAGCCAGTCTGCCTGCCTGCCTGTCTGCCTGTCTGCCTGCCTGCCTGCCTGCCTGCCTGCCTGCCAGCCAGCCAGCCAGCCAGCCAGCCAGCCAGCCAGCCAGCCAGCCAGCCAGCCTGCCTGCCTGCCTGCCTGCCAGCCAGCCAGCCAGCCAGCCAGCCAGCCAGCCAGCCAGCCAGCCAGCCAGCCAGCCAGCCAGCCTGCCTGCCTGCCTGCCTGCCTGCCAGCCTGCCAGCCAGCCTGCCAGCCAGCCAGCCAGCCAGCCAGCCAGCCAGCCAGCCTGCCTGCCAGCCTGCCAGCCTGCCTGCCTGCCTGCCTGCCTGCCTGCCTGCCTGCCTGCCTGCCTGCCTGCCTGCCTGCCTGCCAGCCAGCCAGCCAGCCAGCCAGCCAGCCAGCCAGCCAGCCAGCCTGCCTGCCAGCCTGCCTGCCAGCCTGCCTGCCTCCCTCCCTCTCTGCCAGCCTGCCTGCCAGCCTCCCTCTCTGCCAGCCTGCCTGCCAGCCTCCCTCCCTCTCTGCCAACCAGCCTGCCTGCCTGCCTCCCTCCCTCCTTCTCTGCCAGCCTGCCTGCCAGCCTCCCTCTCTGCCAGCCTGCCTGCCACCCTGCCTGCCAGCCTCCCTCTCTGCCAGCCTGCTTGCCACCCTGCCTGCCAGCCTCCCTCTCTGCCAGCCTGCCTGCCAGCCTCCCTCTCTGCCAGCCTCACTCTCTGCCAGCCTGCCTCCCTCCCTCTCTGCCAGCCTGCCTGCCAAAAATATATACAATGATGTACATTTAAGAAACAAATCTGGGTCACAGGTCCGTCGAATGTGGTTAGGCACCGACTCCTCCCCTCCCCCAACCCCTAACCCATACACACACACACTCAAAGGTCACGTGGTTCACCTCAACACCCATCCATCCCTTCCTGCCTGCCTGCCAGCCTGCCTGCCTGCCTGCCAGCCTGCCTGCCTGCCTGCCAGCCTGCCTGCCAGCCTGCCAGCCTGCCTGCCTGCCAGCCTGCCAGCCAGCCAGCCTACCAGCCTGCCAGCCTGCCTGCCTGCCTGCCAGCCTGCCAGCCTACCAGCCTGCCAGCCTGCCAGCCAGCCTGCCAGCCTGCCTGCCAGCCTGCCAGCCAGCCAGCCTACCAGCCTGCCTGCCTGCCTCCTTCCCAGCCTGCCTGCCTGCCTCCTTTCCAGCCTGCCTGCCTGCCTCCTTCCCAGCCTGCCTGCCTGCCTCCTTCCCAGCCTGCCTGCCTGCCTCCTTCCCAGCCTGCCTGCCTGCCTCCTTCCCAGCCTGCCTGCCTGCCTGCCTGCCTCCTTCCCAGCCTGCCAGCCTGCCTGCCTCCCAGCCTGCCTGCCTGCCTCCTTCCCAGCCTGCCTGCCTGCCTGCCTGCCTGCCTGCCTGCTTGCCTGCCAGCATGCCTGCCAGCCTGCCTACCTCCCTCCTTCCCAGCTTGCCTGCCTGCCTCCTCCTCTGCCAGCCTGCCTGCCTGCCAGCCAGCCAGCCAGCCAGCCAGCCAGCCAGCCAGCCAGCCTTCCTGCCTGCCAGCCAGCCTGCCAGCCTGCCTGCCAGTCAGTCAGCTAGCCTGCCTGCCTGCCAGCCTGCTTGTCAGCCTGCTGGCCTTCGTGCCTGCCTCTCTGCCTGCCAGCCTGCCTTTCTCTCCCTAATTCTCGCATCCTCCCTCACCAATTCGCCCATCCTCCCTCACTACTTCCCTCCCTTCCTGCCTACATCCTAGGATCTCTCCCTACCTCCCCCTCCCTCCTAGCATCCCTCCCTCCCTCCCTTTCTCACCAATTCTGCCCTCTCTCACTGATTCTCCCCCCTCTCTCATACTGCCTTCCACCTAAGCTCCCCCATCCATCCATCCACCAGTCAGCCATCACTGATGCAATGCGTGCATTTGGAGCCGACATGGTGCCCAGATGTTTCTTGATTGTGCAGATATGTAAAACAAAAGCACAGAATGAACATTCCAGCGTTATGGCAATTCAAAATAATAGGAATAATAGGCCGTGAATCTGTGAAGTCACAGCGGGCAAACTGGACCATCTCCCACCCACCACCACAAGCCGGCGTGACGCTTGGCGGGTAGCATGACTCCCCAACCCCAATCGGGAAACTGGAAGTTTCGGATAACTAAAGTTCGGAAACCAAGTGGTGCTCTGCAATACATAGATGTTTTCAGAAAAGTACGGTATTTGATATGGGATCTAAGAACAACAATGATCAACAACCTTTCATTTAGAGAGCAAGGCAAACGTAACATCCGGAACAAAAATTATATGATGCATAATGAATATTTTCAACATAAGGGATGCCATAATAATAATATTGCTCTTCTTAACCACTTAACTGCGCCAACCGAGTATTCTCGGTCGACGGGAAACTAAGCCAACCGAGAAAACTCTTTTTGATTTTTCCATGCCCATTCTAAATGTGTGCGAGGTTGGTTGTGTACGAAATGGACTCTTAGGACCTCCAGTGAGAGGCAGCCATCTTGGAAAAAATTCTCAGAATACCCTAGGGCTGCTGGCTGGGTTAGTACTCAGTGAGCAACCATGGGTGGCGCCCGCGCCTCTGGCTCCCAAACACCTGTCCGACGGGGTGTTGAAAGATCATGCTCTGTCGGTGAAATTCAAACCTTATTGTTTGAAGAACATAAGGGTCATAATATTGGTGAAGCTAGGCGCAATAAGGACCTAACACAAAGGTCGGATGCAAGTGATACAGCACCTATGAGGGTGATACAGCGAACGTATTCAGTTGTAGCTCTGAGCGTCACCCTTGCAATCCTATGCTATCTCCAATTTATTTAGATGATACATATATGAATTGTTTTCTGCGTTCAGTGATGATGCATCTGACACAAGTAGCACAGATGAACAGTGTTAGCGGCTTCCATGGTGGTGTTTTCCATAGATATTTTCAAGAATACCTGAATCTCTTCCTATCTGACGGACACTCTTTGAGGCAAGCTGAATCTCTTCCTGTGTGGGACCATACAAAGCGATCTTTTCAAGACTACCTTACAAATTGATCTTTTCCTATAATCTTTTCAATACTACCTTATGCTTTACAAGCTTGGCTACATACAACCTACAAGTACTAAAGCCAAGGGTGTACGTGAGTGCGTTATTTGCAAGCACACAGAATGAAGAAACAGGAAGCGAAAATTTATCTGTACCTGGTGCAACGAGAGCGAAGTCACGCTGTGCACCATGGACTACTTCGTTGATTATTACTCACTTCCGAAGTACTGAGTGTGTAATACAGTGTGTTACTGTGTAAATAGTGTGTGAAACTGTACATATTGTAATTTTAGTGAATTTTTAACAAGTAATATTGCGACAATAAACATTTATTGTGGACACATTACTGACACATGTATCACAGTTCCATGGAACATTATGAACATTCTACTGTATACATATTGTAAAGGACACAAATATGCATCATATACAATAAAAAAACAAATAAAACTGCATTGGAAATACATAAAACAAATAATTGAAAATATATTTGTGGCAACACCCAGTGCTTGAATGGCCCGTGTGACCGTGTCTGGGAGATTCGCGCACGAACGACCAGGTCCTGATGACATCACAACGCACCTTGTCCACATCCCTACAGCCAAAGTAAGTAGAATTTGGTATTTATTTTTACATAGACATGTTCAGGGAAGGGAATTTATCATTTTATGGAGAAAAAAAAAAAATTGGGGAACACTTTATTTCATGCAGCACGGTGGTTATGGCACAAAAAAATTTATACCAAAACAGAGGTGCAGAACTAGGAAACAGGATTGGTTCAACAGAAATTGCGAGAGGGCCAGAGACCAAAAGACACAAAAATGGAATCAATATAGGAAGAGGCCAAACCCCCAAACATACCAGCGATACAAAGATGCGAGAAACAACTACACGGCAGTGAGGAGAAAGGCAGAAAGAAATTTTTAAAAAGGGATTGCAGACAAATGTAAAACAGAACCAGGTCTATTCTATAAATTCACAAACAACAAATTGCAGGTAAAGGATAATATTCAGAGGTTGAAAATGGGAAATAGATTCACGAAAAATGAAAAAGAAATGTGTGAAACATTAAACAAAAAGTTCCAAAATGTGTTTCTACAAAATGAAATCTTCAGGGAACCAGATACAATAAGAATTCCAGAGAACAATATAGAGCACATAGAGGTGTCTAGAGACGAAGTGGAAAAAATGCTGAAGGAGCTAAGTAAGAACAAAGCAGTTGGTCATGATGGAGTTTCATCATGGGTTCTGAGAGAATGTGCACCTGAGCTCAGCATTCCACTTCAACTGATTTTTCAGGCATCCCTGTTTACAGGAGTTGTAGCTAATGTGTGGAAAAAGGCTAACATAGTTGCAATCTACAAAAGTGGCAGCAGGGAAGACCCCCTTAATTATAGACCCGCATCATTGACAAGTGTCATAGTCAAAATATTGGAAAAAATAATTAAAACTGAATGGATAGAATCCCTGGAGAAAAATGATAATACCAGACAGACAGTATGGTTTTCGATCTGGAAGATCCTGTGTAACGAACTTACTCAGTTTCTATGGTCCAGCCACTGAGATTTTACAGGAAAGAGATGGTTGGGTTGACTGCATCTATCTGGACCTAAAAAAGGTTTTCAACAGAGTTCCACATAAGAGGTTGTTCTGGAAACTGGAACATATTGGAAGGGTGACAGGTAAGTTTCTAACATGGATTAAAAATTTCCTGACTGACAGAAAAATAAGGGCCGTAATCAGAGGCAATGTATTGGATTGGAGGAATGTCACGAGTGGAGTACCACAGGGTACTCCACAATGAACATTATCGGTTCTTGCACCAGTAATGTTCATTGTCTACATAAACGATCTACCAGTTGGAATACAGAATTATGTGTACATGTTTGCTTATGATGCTAAGATAATAGGAAAGATAAGAAACCTAGATGATTGTCATGCCCTTCAAGAAGACCTGGACAAAATAAGTATATGGAGCAACACTTGGCAAATGGAATTTAATGTTAATAAATGCCATGTTATGGAATGTGGAATTGGAGAACATAGACCCCACACAACCTATAAATTATGTGAGAAATCTTTAAAGAATTCTGACAAAGAAAGGGATCTAGGGGTGGTTCTATATAGAAAACTGTCACCTGAGGACCACATTAAGAACATTGTGCGAGGAGCCTATGCTACACTTTCTAACTTCAAAATTGCTTTTAAATACATGCATGGAGAAATACTAAAGAAATTGTTCACGACTTTTCTTAGACTAAAGCTGGAATATGCAGCGGTTGTATGGTGCCCATAACTTAAGAAACACATCAACACACTGGAAAATGTGCAACGACATGCCACTAAGTGGCTCCCAGAACTGAAGGACAAGAGCTACGAGGAGAGGTTAGAAGCATTAAATATGCAAAAACTATAAGATAGAAGAAAAAGAGGCAATATGATCACAAAATAGTAACAGGAATCAATAAAATTGATAGGGAAGAATTCCCGAGACCCGGAACTTCAAGAACAAGAGGTCAAAGATTTAAACTCACAAAACAAAGCTGCCGGAGAAATATAAGAAAATTCACTTTTGTAAACAGTGGTAGATGGTTGGAACAAGTTAGGCGAGAAAAGTGGTGGAGGCCAAAACTGTCAGTAATTTCAAATTGTTATATGACAAAGAGTACTGGGGAGGCAGGACACTACGATCATAGCTCTCATCCTCTAACTACACTTAGGTAATTACAATACCATTGTTAAGCAAGCAGAGTAAACAAGGAACCAAACAAGAAACATGGAGGGGTGACAGGAAGGCTTCTGACATGGATGGAAAATTTTCTGAAAGGAAAAATGAGGGAGATAATCAGAAGCAATGTAAGGAGCAATATTGCCAGTGGAGTACCACAAGGTTCAGTTCTAGCACAAATAATGTTCATTGTCTCTATAAATGATCTTCCAGAGGAAATACAGCATTATATGAACCTATTTGCTGATGATGTTAAGCTTACCTGGGCATATAAAAAGACTTGGATGATTGTCATGTCCTTCAAAATAACCTTAACTAAATAATTGTATGAAATAACACTTGACAGATGGAATTCAACATGTATAAATGCCGCATTATGGAAAGTGGAATAGGAGAAAATAGGCCACACACAACCTACAAATTATGTGAAAAGTCATAAAAGAACTTGGAAGAGACAGAGGTGGTTCTGGATAGTAAACCCTTACCAGGACCATATAAAGAACATTATGTAATTACCTAAGTGTAGTTACAGGATGAGAACTACACTCGTGGTTTCCCGTCTCTGCATGTTCAAGCTTCAGAATCATTTTTAAATACTCGGAGCAATGAAATATTGAAGAAATTGTTCACAACTTTTGTGAGACCAAAAGTTGCACTGTGCCCACATCTCAAGAAACACATCAATTAATTGGAAAATGTGAAGAGACATGCAACTAAATGGCTTCTGGAACTGAAAAACAAGAGCTACAAAGAGAGGCTAAGGGTGTTAAATATGCCAAAGCTAGAAGAGAGAGTCGAATATGATCATTACATTCAAAATAATAACAGGAATTGATAAAATTAACAAAAAGGAATTCTCCAAACCTGCAACTTCAAGAACAAGAGGTCATAGATTCAAACTAAGGAAATAAATGTGCAGTAAAATTATTAGATAGATTCACCATTTTCCCCTGATAATTCCCTCCCTCTTTTTTACAAACAGAGTGATAGACAATTGGAACAAGTTAAGAAAGTGGTGAATGCCAAAAACATTAGAAATGCAGTTTCAAGGAATCACATGACAAAGAGTACTGGAAAGACGAGACACCACGACCGTAACTCTTATCGTGTGACTACAATAAGGTAATTTCCAGTACAATAGAATACAAGAACAATGTATGGCATGCAGAGGTAAACAAGGCACATTGGGAGACAAGGTAGCTGAGGACTTACACTGGCATCCAGGGTGGAGGGAGGGGATGGAGGAGAGCAGCTCTGGCTAGAGGCAGCAGGTGTGGCTCCTTCCTTGCCTCAATCCCCACTAATTCACAATACTCCAACACTTCTGCAACACAATAATGAAAAATTATACAATTCAATTATAGAATTATATTGTACATGAAATTCAAGTTAAAAAACCACTAGCAAGTACAAATGGTTACAGCACTTATGTCAACCACTTTGTTGCTGGGACCAACTACTGTTCTGACAAGAACCCTTGTCAGAACACCAAAAAAAAAAAAAAAGTCTAAATATCAGTCCAGGACATGCTGGAGAAGATTGCCAAAGCTGCGTATTTGTGAATTGATGGCAGACTGCAAGCTGGCTAGATTTATTGACACTGCAAACGTCCCGAGAAATGCGAGCCTTGAAACAGGAGTCCATGGAAACAGGGTCAATTAACAAGGCATCCACCGAGGCAGAACAGGTGGCCAGCAAGAACCAGTGAACAGTCGCCACCCCCACACAACAAATGATGTAACCCTGCCTGAACCAATTAAGCATCATTTACCAAAGGACTCCTCTGGAAGCCTGCCAACTCATTCTTCGCCTGGAGGAAGAAGGTGTAAATTAACAAACTGTCCATTTAGGCCAAAGGGACAATACCCCAGCCTCTGGAGAAGAGGCTGAAGCTCCTGAACCCTACAGTCAAGAGGTGAGAGCCAATAAATAAACAGCCTTTAGAAGCCCAGTGACAGTGCACCAAAACTTCCTCACACTAAATTGTTTTGTGAGTAGTATCTTATGGTAAATGCTCCAGCTTTTCCTAATGAATCAACATCATACCATGAACAAAAAAGAAGTTAAAAATAAAATAGAAAATAAAAAATTCAAAATTTCAAATTGACTTTAAAAATATTAAAATGTCACCAAATGTTATTTTATTCATTATGGTCTCAGAATGGCATATAACATCCAGTTTCCTCGCTGAAAAATATTGTTTGAGAGTATAAGTTACTGTAAAAGATTTTTTCAATATGGCCATCCAAACATGTGCAAAATTTATACAAAAAAATATATATAGTACAACCTCGATTCAACGTGCTGTATGGGACCAACCCCAGTTCGTTGGAGCGTTGGATTCGTTGCAAGAGGTGACCTTCAGGAGGCGTTTGAGTCAGTGTCTTTTTTTTACTTGTACACAATAAAAATGCATTATCATATTACATACTCTACCTATATATTACTTCTCTACTAAAAAATACTGTAATTCATAAATTTACCTTATTGTTGAAGTTATGTCCATCTTGAAGTTTCGTGAAGTTGTGAATGCTCTACATTAAATACGTACTGCAGTGCATTATTCCATTATCACTGTGTTGATTAAAAGTAGTTCTGCTGTATGTTGAGTACTACAATACAGTTTATGAAAACTATTGTACACTGAAATTACTGCAACTTTAATTTTAACACTGTGTACACACTTAAATTTAACACTTGTTCTAACCGTTCACGCTGCACACTATGTTTTTAGATGTTTGCATCAGCTTTGCTGGTGCTCGCTGCTGCTGTGGGTTTAGCTGCTTCTGAGCTGGTGCTGGCTGCTGTTGTACCAGTGCTGGGTACAACTGTGCTTGTGCTGTGTACGGCTGTTGTACCAGTGCTTGGTACAGCTGTTCTCCTGCTGGGTACGGCTGTTCTCGTGCTGGGTACGGCTGTTCTCGTGCTTGGTACGGCTGTTCTCGTGCTTGGTACGGCTGTTCTCGTGTTGGGTTATCTTGAGATGATTTGGTTATCTTGAGATGATTTCGGGGCTTTTTAGTGTCCCCGCGGCCCGGTCCTCGACCAGGCCTCCACCCCCAGGAAGCAGCCCGTGACAGCTGACTAACACCCAGGGTACCTATTTTACTGCTAGGTAACAGGGGCATAGGGTGAAAGAAACTCTGCCCATCGTTTCTCGCCGGCGCCTGGAATCGAACCCAGGACCACAGGATCACAAGTCCCGCGTGCTGTCCGCTCGGCCGACCGGCTCCTACGTACGGTTGTTACGTACGGTTGTACCCTACGTAGGGTACGAACAGCCGTACCCTACGTACAGGGTACGGCTCTTCTCGTGCTGGTTGATTTTCTGCTACTAGTTCTTGCAAAATATTAATGCCAAAAATGAAGCAATAAGGCACTATTAGTAAGCCCCTGAGACATTTTGTTCTATAACCAAAGAGCTGTAGTAAAAAAATGGTCAATTCCACGATTATTCTTCCACCGGCGGATAAATACTGTACGTCAATCGCAGACAAAGCTAAGGGCACTGGGTGCATACTGTACGAACGCAGACTAAGTCTATACGTACACCCTTCAGTAGGCTGGTGTTTAAGCCTGATCCAGTAACAAATTTCTCTTAAATATTCGATTTATATCAAATTATATATTTTTGGGTTATATATTTAGTTTAGCAACATTATTACGATAATAAGAGCTATAAAAAATACTTATTTTGGAACTGATTTATTAATTTTATAATTTCGAAGCCGTAGGTCACTGAACTGTGGCGACGAAATCGAACAAAACACTGCCTGATGTTGTGTTCGATTTCCAGTAACATATATTTCTCTCAAATATTCAATTTACATCAAATTATATATTTTTGGGTTACATATTTAGTTTAGCAACATTATTACGATAATAAGAGGTATAAAAAATAATTACTTTGGAACTGATTTATTAATTTTATTATTTCGAAGCCGTAGATCGCTGAACTGTGGCGACGAAATCGAACACAACAAGCATGGTGTTGTATGGACAGGGATTAGACCTGTCCACTCGTGCTGGAGTTTGCTGCCAATAACGTGAATAATTTCTCAAATAGGAGATATCTATCTTATTACAGTATATTTTTGGTTTTATTTAGTTTAGTTTAATTAGGATAATAAAGAGTTATTAAAACACCAGTTTTAGAAATGATTTATTAATGTGAAACGTTCAAAGCCATGGGTCACTGAACTATGACAACACAGACGAAAGTGAGTGAAACCTCACTGTAAAGTGAGGTTTACTGTACAGTATTCCCTTATCTGTCCACCCTCACTCGTCTTGTTTCATCACTGAAAATGTATATAAGAAGATTTCAACATATTAGCTAGCTATTCACGCTTCAGCCTTTAAATTAATTTACAAAGATACGTGTGCCACAAATCGGTGAACGAAAATCATTGAAACTCAGTCGTTCACTTGTGTGGACGACTCTGGCTGGTGTTTGGTTAATATGCGTCACTTCTTGTGGACCATTCTGGCTGGTGTTTGGTTCATATGATTCACTTGTTATGTGATCCACTTGTGTGATCCAACTTGTCTTATGAAGGAATTATTAATTGTAATCTGTAATTACCTAAGTGTAATTACCTAAGTGTAGTTACAGGATGAGAGCTACGCTCGTGGTGTCCCGTCTTCCCAGCACTCTTTGTCATATAACGCTTTGAAACTACTGACGGTCTTGGCCTCCACCACCTTCTCACTTAACTTGCTCCAACCGTCTACCACTCTATTTGCGAAGGTGAATTTTCTTATATTTCTTCGGCATCTGTGTTTAGCTAGTTTAAATCTATGACCTCTTGTTCTTGAAGTTCCAGGTCTCAGGAAATCTTCCCTGTCGATTTTATCAATTCCTGTTACTATTTTGTATGTAGTGATCATATCACCTCTTTTTCTTCTGTCTTCTAGTTTTGGCATGTTTAATGCTTCTAACCTCTCCTCGTAGCTCTTACCCTTCAGTTCTGGGAGCCACTTAGTAGCATGTCTTTGCACCTTTTCCAGTTTGTTGATGTGCTTCTTAAGATATGGGCACCACACAACAGCTGCATATTCTAGCTTTGGCCTAACAAAAGTCATGAACAATTTCTTTAGTATATTGCCATCCATGTAATTAAATGCAAGTCTGAAGTTAGAAAGAATAGCATAGGCTCCTTGCACAATATTCTTTATGTGGTCCTCAGGTGATAGTTTTCTATCTAGAACAACTCCTAGATCTCTTTCTTTATCAGAATTCTTTAAAGATTTCTCACATAATATATAGGTTGTGTGGGGTCTATGTTCTCCTATTCCACATTCCATAACATGACATTTATTAACATTATATTCCATTTGCCAAGTGGTGCTCCATATACTTATTTTGTCCAGGTCTTCTTGAAGGGCATGACAATCATCTAAATTTCTTATCCTTCCTATTATCTTAGCATCATCAGCAAACATGTTCATATAATTCTGTATACCAACTGGTAGATCATTTATGTACACAATAAACATCACTGGTGCAAGAACTGAACCCTGTGGTACTCCACTTGTGACATTTCTCCATTCCGATACATTGCCTCTGATTACTGCCCTCATTTTTCTATCAGTCAGAAAATTTTTCATCCATGATAGAAGCTTACCTGTCACCCCTCCAATATTTTCCAGTTTCCAGAACAACCTCTTATGTGGAACTCTGTCGAAAGCCTTTTTTAGGTACAGATAGATGCAGTCAACCCAACCATCTCTTTCCTGTAGCCATCTCTGTGGCTCGATCATAGAAACTGAGTAAATTCAATACACAGGATCTTCCAGATCGAATACCATACTGTCTGTCTGATATTATATCATTTCTCTCCAGGTGTTCTACCCATTTAGTTTTGATTAGTTTTTCCAATACTTTCACTATTACACTTGTCAATGATACAGGTCTATAATTGAGGGGGTCTTCCCTGCTGCCACTTTTGTATAGATTGGAACTATGTTAGCCTGTTTCCACACGTCTGCTATGATTCCTGTACACAGGGATGCCTGAAAGATCAGGTGAAGTGGAATGTTGAGCTCAGATGCACATTCTCTCAGAACCCATGGTGAAACTCCATCTGGGCCAGCTGCTTTGTTCTTACCGAGCTCCTTTAGCATATTTTCCACTTCATCTCTAGACACCTCTATCTGCTCTATGTTGTTCTCTGGAATTCTTATTGTGTCTGGTTCTCTAAAGATTTCATTTTGTACAAACACACTTTGGAACTTTTCATTTAATGTTTCACACATTTCCTTTTCATTTTCCGTGAATCTGTTTCCCATTTTCAACCTCTGGATATTATCCTTTACCTGCAATTTGTTGTTTATGAATTTGTA